AAAAAAAAAGAAAGAAAGAAAGAAAGAAAAAAAGAACGAAAAAAAAAAGAGAGATTTTTGAACATTTTGCACTTCACAGGGAGGAAATGGAACGACGTGTGCGGGGCTGAGGTTAGCCTAACGAATGGAGTCAATGGACTCAACGGAGCCATAAGCGTAAGGCTATGTGTCCTCTTTTCAGCAAGAAAGGTCACCGTGGTCTTGTGCACTTTGGCCGTGATAGAGATTGAAGAGTGAAACACCTAACACCTACCAGCAATGCCTTGTCCGGGAAATCCTCTGGCCAATAGGGTTATGTTGAAGATGAGCAAGTACGACATCAACGACCTGGAAGAGATGCAAATAAACACAGTAAAGAAATACAAGTGAATCATTTGTACAGCAAAGGAGATGGAATAATCACTAAGCATCACCATGATTCACGAGTGCTGCCTCCGTTTTCGATATCAGCCTCCTTCCGAGGATGGTCGGATAGCTCCGTCCTCTCTTACAGCACACTGTCCAAGCCTACTGGAGTCCGGATGCCAACCCAACACGCGACTGGGATAAAAGTACTGCCCAAGGCCGCAAACCATCATTGCTATCTCTGACTCATTACAGCCAGGTTGCTGGGTGACACGAGACTGGGATTGAAGTACAGCATGGCTGCCCAAGGCCGCAAACCATCATTGCTATCTCTGACTCATTACAGCCAGGTTGCTGGGTGAAATAGCAGCTTGGGTATGAGGTAAGCTGAAGTAGTGGGGGTGCTTGGAGGCGCCCAGCTATGGTGGATGCCCAATTGTCTACGGAGGAGGCCCCCTGGGGGGTATGGTGCTGCATGCCTCCAAGTTTCAAGAGTGAGTGAGGCACAGTTGTAGGGCACCTTCATCAGGTGAGCCTTTTTGGTAGGGGAGACGATGCTGAACCTGGTGAGGATAACGAAGCCGACACAAAAGCTTTCCGGTATAGAATAGCCAATGCAATTTTGTGGTCAGACGTTGCGTTCCCGATGTGGTGTGTTAGTCCTTAGTCAACGGTCACACGGTGAGCAAGAACAGTGGTTCTTGGGAGGAAAGCAGACTCTTACCTCCACCAACATGGCTTCATCTTCATAGTCGACGGCAGGATGAGACGATGGTTGATCTTCAAGGGAGGAATGAGAAAAAAGTGAAAAGTGAACTTTTTGATTGAAGGGGGAGAGGCTCCTGTGTAATCTGTTCGAAGGTGCTGGAAAAGATTTGTGGATGATGTCAGTCATTCTTTGGCATTGATGTCATTTGATGATAATAAAAGAGAAGGGAGAGAGTGGAGAAGAGAATTCAATGTTGTCTGGAGTAAAGTTCTTCTTTCTTCTTCATTTCAGCTTTTTTTTTCTTTTCTTCTTTTTGCCCTCACATTTTGTACATGCCGAACTTCTTTCTTTGTTAAACGAGTAAGGAACATAGCTTAAAGAAATCAATGTGAATCTAAGCTGCCTCGCTTTTCCTTCTGTCTTCACAATTTGCTTTGATGAGCGGGAGCAACAACACTTTGATTCGCAACATCGATATTTGACAGGGATGGGCTGCAGTCTGTTCTGCACAATGCGCGTTTCCATCAACGACCTTTTTGCATTTCTTTAGATTCAGTTGGAGTACGCTGGACAAATAAGTTAGGGGGCTTGGGCAATGGGCTTGTCACGGCAGGCACCGAGCAATTTCTCTACAGCTGATGTGAGAGTCTGTGCCTGGCCTAAGTATGAGATAGTCTTTACGACTCTTTTTTTTTTTTTTAGCCTATACGACTCTTTAAGGATTACTTATACAAAGGTTGATGCTGGAATTCCTCTGCGGACGCCCTCAGCCCCGGTATTCCAATTTGATGTGTACAAATTTTACATGGGATGCTGGGCAAGGTTCCCAGCACCCGCTGCTCCCCACGAATAGAATGGAGCCTCGTTCCCATTTGAAAAGAAAAAGAAAAAGAAAAAAAAAAAGAGTTCCCCGATTTGTTCCCACCTCATGTTTTTTCCTTGGTGGACATGCAATGGTACGGAGGCACATGACATCAACGGCCAGGGACAATTCTGCCTATCAGGCACTGACAGGCAGCCTGGAAGGCTGAAGAGGCTGACTGTGTGTTACATCCATTGGCTGCCACAGCAATATGTTCATTCACAGGACCCTAGGGTCGCAGAGCCGGAGCCAGGTAATGGCCCCTTGCACGGCGTCCGCTTCAACCAGGGCTGAGTGGGGAAGTAGGGGTGCCCCCGCCAGCCTGGGTGCCTGCAACCGCTGTCTGGTCAGGTCACCTAGCCGAGTTGGTGATGGGTGATGGGTGATGGTTCTGGGTGGTCTACATTAAGGTAGGACAGAGGGGGTGTGGGTGCGCCAGGGTAATCGACCAGAGGAAGGGTGGATGGGGGTCTTCTGAGGGGGAGTTCAAAAAAAAAAAAAAAAAAAAAAAAAAAAAAGCATGGTCATGAGCATATACCTATGCGACGCTGGACCCGGTTTCCAGCAGGTGACACACCCACCAATAGAACGGAGCCAAAAAAAAAAAAACAAAAAAAAAACCCTCTCTGCCCAGCCTAAACTTTCGGGAGTCGCTAAAGGTTGACTCCTGAGGCACACAAGGCAAAAGAATTTGACAATACACAAGATGAGGTTGGTGTCTGCTCTTACCAGCTCCGCTAGCACTGGAGGGGGCTTTGCCTAAAAAAAAAAAAAAAAAAAGAGGTTGGTGTTCTGCAAATGACATCATACTCCTGCATCGAAAGATGATGACGCTTGGATCTTCTCCCTCCGCAACTCCTTTTGCTTCAGCTTCCTCAGAAGCTCCCTCCGTATCGTAGTTCCAGCACGGATAAACTCTCTCCGCCAATCCAAGACCTGTCCATATCAAGAAGTAGGAAATCAGCGGAATCAGTAAACTATTTATACAATCAGGCAAAGTACACATGCTTGGAGAAAGGTGTTTGGTCCTTCCTCAGTTTACCAGACATGACATTACTGTGGGCCAGGCAATGTGTGCATTTGGCTGCAACAAGAAGTTAACCGAAAGCCATAACATGTGACAATATCTGTCCAACTCACAAAAGCGGCCTCCAAAACCAGGTGGAGGTGCCTGACACATGATCCTTTAAAAAAACACAAGTACAAGGCCCCACCCTTGCAGTCCGAAACTTGCCGCCACAAGAAAACGAGGCCAAAACATCAAACGCGGGGCCCACCGTTGATAAACTCAATCGGCGGCCGCGTTTTCTTTTCGCGCCTCCAGAATTTGAGGTGTCAGACCCGCGGCCCAGGTGCCCATGTACCGGTGCTTCAATGAGAGATCTTCCTTCGCCCAGGTCCAAAAGGCAAAAGCATGATCAATAGCAATTGAATATTGGATTGCCAAATGCCACTTCTAAAGAATACTGGGGTGGTCACCTCCAGCAACTGTTGAAGGTAAACGTCATGTACACAGACGGCCCCAGCCTTGCTGAAAAACAAACTCGTAGCCTGCAAAAATTTTGGAGGCTCGGCCTACCGGACCACGATGGCTGGCGGCGCCGGCCAAAAAAGAAAAAAAGTGCGCCACTGGCGGTTCGGAAAACCTAGGCGTGCGGCAAGGGGCCTGCAGGCCCGTGTGTACTGGTGGTTCAAGGGAATATAATAGTATATAGGAATAGTCTGCATCTGCTGCTGCTGCCTTAGTAGCAGGTAGTACATACACTATAGCTGCACCATAGCCATACTGGCTGTTAGCTAGTTCATGGGAGTTGTACTATAGACACAATAGCAGCTACTTAATAGAGACTCCTAGCTGCACTATAGCTGCACCATGGAATGATTGTCAGGGTCCAGTCTGATGGCTATTATAGTTGATGTTGACCAGGTTAAGGCCAGCGCAGAGAACCTTTTTCTTTTAATTCCCCAGTACATGGCCCCAGCCTTGCTGAAAAAGAAACTCGTCACCTACGGAAATTTCGGAGGATCGGCCTCTACAGGACCACAATGGCTGGTGGCACCAGCCAAAAAAGAAAACAAGTGCCCCGCTGGCGGTTCGGAAAAGCTTGGCACGCAGCAAGGCACCTGCAGGCCCGGATGCAGTGGAATTTTTTATTTTTTTTTATTTTTTTACTGGTGGTTTAACATACCCACACACAGCCCCTTTCGTCTCAAAGGAACTCCCAACCCAACCACACCCCGCACTTCGCCAACCCATTCTACCATAACCGCTCCTTGGCCACCCTCATCGAGGTCAAGCGGGACTTGCCAGCTTTGATTTTGGGCCTTCCATTTCACGGCATGAATTTGGGTACTTAGGAGAGTCAGACGGCACTAAGACTGCGCCTGCAGGCTTCGAGCGGGGATAGAACTTTGAACCGATAACTTGTAGGAAGTACTAGGAACAGATTTCAAATCTGACATGTTTACAATTTTCCCACACGGGCCCAATTGCTCCCCACCAATAGAATAGAATGGAGCACCTGGTGATAGGCTACTCGGGTGCGGTGCTCATATCACCCCACCTAGTATACCACGGCCCGGTTCAAAAAAAAAATCAGAGTGTCTGACGCCGCATTCGGTGCGGTGTCAGACACTCTGATGCTCTCTCTCTCTCTCTCTCTCTCTCTCTCTCTCTCTCTCTCTCTCTCTCACACACACACACACACACA